GGAGTCAGCAAGTTATCGTAGGGCTCACCAATTTTGTTGCTGCTTTATTTTTGACTGAACTAGCGTACAAGTATATCTTAGTACTTCTTCGCGTTAATTATTGTGTCCTAACGTTGCGATTACTCGACATCCGCTACAGTACCAGGTTGACCACTGACAGGGACGTCAGTTGCCATCATTGTTGGTTGTTGCTGATGTTGTTGGATACAAGTTGGCTGTTGAGCTGGTTGTAAGTGATGAGCTTGTGCTTGAATCTGTTGTTGTTGAGGTGATTGGGTAAACTGTTGTAATTGAACAGCTGTAGGACCGGCTTGAGTAAATGGAGTTGAAGACCATTGTAAGAGTGTTTGCACACCTGTAGACAATGCTGAAGCTTGAGGACAGAGAACTGGAATTGAGGTGTTGCATAACAGCCAGCTGCTTGAGTATCAGGGTGAACTGGGATAGCAGTCGTTGTGCCGCCAGGTCCGGAGGTACTTTTAGCATAAATATCAGTAATTATACATCCAAATGTTATGAAGTTATAGAAGTTAATGCGATGGCAAAGATGATTTATTCCACTGTGTATACTTCGAAATGATGTAGTCAATCAATCAGCTATGTCGGGCTCACCAATTTGTTGCTGCTATATTTTGACTGAACTAGAGTACACGTATCTTCTAGTATTTCTCCGCGTTTATAATTGTGACCTAACGTTGCGATTACTCGACATCCACAACGTAATTCAAAAGGCACTTGCGAAGGAATACGATAGTGTATTATTGCAGCAATAAAAATTCAAAAATCCAGCGAGTACAAAAGTATCAATTGTTAACATGCAAGATTTAGAGTAATAAACAAATCGAAGTATAATTACACAATGAAAGTATATTGCGATGATGAGTAATAAAACGGGTCACTACAAGGTAAGTAGAGTAGGTTAGTCGCTGGCGTGTTGGACCTACATTGGCTAAGGTAGCTGGGGAATGTGTTATGCACACGAAGACACCGCATTTCTCTGTCAGAAATGTTGGCCGATGTAGAATAAGGTTGACAAGGTACTTGGATTTTAGTCTACACTTAACAGAAGCAATTACAATTCTCAGTTGAAGCAACCAATCAATATTCATGAGTGGTGATGGTGATTCCACAATCTGTGTTCCCCTCAAACTAATGTCCATTCGTTGAAGTAGTGAAACAGTTTTAAATATCACTTTATCTCAATGTAAAGTTTGTATTCATTAGTTTTCTAGCGAAAAGTAGTTACATCAAGTTATATTTTTTATCAGTGTTCTTGCAACTTGATAGTGCTACTTTATTATTTAACTGAATGTGAATTCTGGTCTTTATTCTCCATTCTTCTTTGTACTATATAATGGTATTAAGCATTACTATGATTCAGTACTGCAACTCCCTCTTGACCTTTTAAAGTTCAACAAAAGACTGTCGGTCTGAAATTGTGAACAATCTCGGTTATTGTACATATATCTTATAAATTAAACAAGTGCATTCATTCAAAAACTGAGTCCTTGGACACTAAGTTGCCGCAGTTATACTTATCTAACAGAAAGCAGTACACCGTATACAAAGGTAAAGCATCCCCTGCTGTACTCACTGAAGCCGTCGTCACCCCCCCCCCAAACTGCTGTACTCTCTCTCGTTTCACTTGAACATTTCCTTGACCTCCATTTGTTTCACTTCCCACAAAGAAGTAAATTGATCTAGGATGGTTAAATTGATGAGGTTCAATTGAGTTGACGGACTTCTTTGATCCCCGCAACATCAACTTTAAATGAGATCATATCAGTTATCTACATGGATCATAATAAATTCCTAACGGATACTTGACCCTCATTGTTATGGAATCGAAATTTGGTTTGTCGATTGATTTTGTTTTTCTTTTGGATCAGGCAAATCATCATTACTATATTATGGTCATTATCTGCCACTCGATAGGGTTGTCATTATATATTGTCTTACGTCGTGTGTTCTCCCTCGATCGGCGATCACCATGGCATTAAAAGCCATGTAATTTATTCCATATTACATAAGTTTATTTGATATAACTCACAATGATGAAGTATTGATACATGGATGAGTTTTCGAGCACAATTTGTTCCTGATAATCATATCGGTGATGACGCTTTATGTTCTTCGTGTTCGAAGAAATATCACCGTACTCACATGACTGTCGTGAAATTTATTGTCTAGGAAAATATTTCAGTGACAATAAAAACACTATTTTCGTTGAATTTTGTGTTTTGGTGTCACAGTGAGAACTATCCTAGATTTTCTGCGGTGATCTGTGTTCGTTTGATGATTAAAACCTTTAGGCCAAACCGCTAAATACCTAGAAGAAACCAGTATTCACATTAAATTCATGCGATGAGCACTGAAGTAGTTGTGGCAAAGGTAAACACTTTTATCTATTTTACCACTTCATCTTGCTGCCGTTTGTGAAGAGAACTATTCATCAGTGAATGTTCTGAAGCCATTTAAGTTTTTGGAAACAGACATCACTTGTTGAATTCCAATAGTCCCAAGGCCAATAATCCCTCAAAAAACCAAGCCCTTGAGCCCATGAAATGTCTCTTGTAAATAACTGCTTTTCGCCGATGAAATTTTATCAGAATTCGCCTTTTGATCGAAGTGAGACCAGGAAATTCAAAAATAGATGGAGGTAATCCCCTTGCATCTCATCAGGCAAAACCACAAGCCTATATAGAAAACTATATGCTCGCACCAGCAAGTACGAAAACTCAACCATACCCTACTTAGCTCGTGTTCTGTGCGACAAAGAAAGCATTAGGCGTGACACCTATAATTCGTTAAATAGTCAGTAGTACAACTGGACCTCGTCTTTCCAACTCATATCATTTATAGGTACAACATTTTCTTTCTTTCTTTTCCTTTTCTCTCTCTCTTTTCTGTTATATGCTGCTTTGTTTCTTTCTCTCGCTTACGCCAGTAAATATGACAGCTCCTATTTTTCTAACACCTTAAAACACTGTTTCAGCTTTACCTTTGCTACCGACATGCCAATGTGTTGTTGTAATAATGAACTGAGATTTCCTTAATCTATGTAGAATTCCATTTATTGATAATGTACTAACTGGATGCAATACTGTAGTAAAAATGCTGAGAATTCCATTCTGTATCACACGTACTGTTTATGGAATAAAGCAAATTATTATTATTATTATATTACAATGGTCATGAAAAGTCTTGTGACAATATACACTTGATTATGTGAAATCAATGAACCTTCTCGATTTGAAAGAATAATATGTCATTTTATATGCGACGTTCTGATAAGCAACTGTATAAACTGACATCTTTCTATCTGAGTGGAGACCGTCCAGCCCAGTGATAATTAAGAGACCCAGAGGCTATTAATTTGATAATTACCTGATTTAAGTTATTTGTTTACTGATTAACAATTTTTTCGTCGATATGTACCATTCTACACGCACTATAATTTAATGTGTAGGTTTCGCCTAAAGCTCCATTAAAACATCTCCCTGATATGGAGCCATTTAAGCATACTGAGACCTTTAAGATGCTTCATACGCTCAGACAACATATCAGTTCCACAGCAGTCCTTGCAACCGCCACATAAACAGGCAATTTTCTCCCTGAACAAGAAAAGCGATTCTTAAAAACTATATTTCAGGTCTAAATGTCCTACATTATACATTCAAACATTTAGGTCCCAGGATTTGTCTCATAAAATTACATTAAGCAGTATAGCCGAGAACATCTGCACTCTTCTCAGTAACCCGAAAATTCACTTGGACTTTCACGTTAATATTGAGAAAAATTATTTAAGTCACGGGCTTGTTTCCGATCCGCAGAGGGAAACAAAGGACACGGTCTTAACAAAGTGCCCACTTCTCGCACTGCTCCCCATGAAGTCAACCAGGCCGGAGATCAGAAACATCTATCTTACAACGAAGAAGCAAGCACAGAGAAATCGATCTAGTTTAACACTACCAATTAAGACGATAGCGGAAAGTGGAAAGCCTTGTTGTCAAAGGCAGCTTACTGAACTGGATTGGGGAATTCCCTATAGATTGAGGGCAGAGGGTTGGGGTCAACTCCTAACTCCCCTCCTGGACTACAGTGCGTAGTGGAGCACCATAAGGCATGGTACTCGCACCTCTCCTATTTATTTATTTGTTTTTTTTGATTACAGCTTGATTCCACACCGTATTTTTGGTACAAGTATGGAGTTTTCAGCATGTGATAGCAGTAGCCCAAATTTTGCAGGCCGACCGATTGATATCAGGTGTGCGTTGGCAGGGGATCGAACCTCGGACCATGTGCATGGCCGGTGAGAGTCCTAAGCACTGTGCTACAGATGTACATTTATCAAAGAGTCATCTGTGCTTACCGATTCCCCTATGGTCCTATACGCAGATGACTTGAAAGTCTGGAGACACCTGAAGGGCCACAGTGATACACCCACGTTGCAGAAGGACTTCAAAAAGTTTTCAGAGTGGTGTAGAGGATGGATGCCCCGAGAAGTGTGGCAAAATGTGCAACCATGCGCATCGTACACGCAACCATCAGCTCCTACGAACTAGAGGGAATAACACTCCCATCAGTTCAGACTAATTTGGATTTAGGTGGTATAGTAAGTCACGATTTAAACACTGCAGCGCACTGTAGCGCGGTGGCTACACATAGTTTCAGGTACTTATGGGCAATTCGCACAGTCTTCACTAGAATCACCAGACATATGTCCACCTCCTTATATACATCTCTGGTGATGTCAAGGCTGGAAGACTGTATCCAGGCAGCCAGTTCTTGTCTTCGAGAGGACTCACATATTCTAGAAAGGGTTCAAAGGAGGGCAATACGTATGGTTATCGGTGTGACTAACCTACCATGCGAGGAAAGACCAGACAGTTTAAATCTCTTCTCCCTGTCATACTCTAGGCAGAGAGGAGATTTGATTACAATGTTTAAAATTTTGAATTATGACTACGGACCTGACCTATTCCCCCTTTTCCTTCCCACCAGTTTGGAAAACGTTAGAGAACATAGCGAGAGATTTCGAAAGCTAAGAATAAACCATACTGTTTTGGAGTGCCGGTTCTCACATAGAGTCATAAACTCTTGGAACCGACTCCCAGAAGAAAGGCCGTCTGCAACTTCAGCTTATCCATTCAAAAAAGGTTGGAAATGCAAAGAAATTTGCTAGAAAAGGATTGAAGCTAGAAAGGCTGGAAGCCTTCTACCCTGAACCAGTAAATCTGATTTTTAAATCTATTGAACTTTGAACCTGTCTGCAGAACGTGGCCTTTATATCATCAGTGTTACAAACAGCGGACGATGGGTGACGCGGGAGCGCACGCCGTGCAAGTAGTCAATGTAGAGGAGTGCAACAAAAAAACTTCGTTCAGCTTAAATGAAGAGGCGTTATCGGCTATTCTTTTGAAACCAGGTGTGCGTGACAAAAAAGTCGTAGTTTTGTCAGTTGCGGGAGCCTTCCGACAAGGGAAATCGTTTCTGTTAGATTTCTTCCTTCGTTACCTATTGTGTGAAGATCGCACAAACTGGCTAGGAGATCCGGATAAACCCTTAAAAGGGTTTCCGTGGAGGGGTGGTTCTGAACGAGATACTGTCGGTATCCTACTTTGGAGTGAACCTTTTGTTATGACCCTACCTTCAGGGGAAGAGGTTGTCGTTTTATTAATGGATACACAAGTATGTAAACTGAACTTTATCTCTATCGATTATTAGGGTTCTTTTGATAGCACTAGTACTATGCGTCATTGTGCCACAGTTTTCGCTCTGAGTACAATGTTGAGCAGTATCCAAGTTTACAATATACATGGTAATATCCAAGAAGATCACCTCCAACATCTTCATCTGTTCACTGAATATGGTCGGTTAGCATTAGAGTCAGAAGTTTCTGGGTCTCCATTTCAGGTGAGCAATTTGTTTTTAACTGATTTTGCAGTCAACACTACAGGGAAATTATTATCATTATTATTGTTCCCTTGGGTTCCTAGTGGAACATAGGGCTTCAACTGCACGTCTCCACTTGCTTCTGTCTTGTGCTGTACTTTTCACTTGCGTCCATGTTATTCCATACTGTTTCATCTCCTCCTCACACGATCTCCTCCATGTCACCCTTGGACGTCCCACTCGCCGCTTCCCTTTCGGGTTCCACTCGAGGGCCTGACGCGCGATGTCACTCAACGGCCTCCTCAGCGAGTGTCCAATCCATCTCCACTTCCTCCTGCATATATGTTGGGCGATTGGTTCCTGTTTCGTTTGTTCCCATAGCTTCTTGTTTGTGATTCTTTCCGGCCATCTAATCTTCAGTATGGAGCGAAGACAGTTGTTGATAAAGGTCTGCAACCTGTTGAAAATATTCTTGGTGACCCGCCAAGTTTCTGATCCGTAAAGCAAAATTGACTTGACGTTTGTATTGAAAATCCGAATTTTGTTGTTGATGCTGAGTGACGAAGATTTCCAGATTGGTTTCAGGTTGATGAATGTGTTTCTCGCCTTCCCGATTCTCGATTTGACATCCTCGTCCGTTCCTCCTGTGGTTGAGACAATGCTCCCCAGATAAGTGAAAGAAGTAACCTCTTTCAAATCCCTCCCGTTGATGGTGATTGGCGCTGGATGTTGCTGCTGTTGTTGTTGGTTGGTTATTTTCATGACCTCCGTCTTGTCTATGTTCACCTGGAGTCCTGTCTTTGCTGCTTCTTCGACCAGTTTGTCGGTTTTCGCTTGTAAGTCTTCGATTTTGTGTGACATCAAACATAAATCATCTGCGAAATCCAGGTCTTCTAGGTTCTTCGCGTCGGTCCAGGATATCCCTGTCTTCTCGTTTCCCACTGTCTGACGCATAATCCAGTCCACCACAATTAGGAATATCATTGGTGATAATAAGCACCCTTGTCCGACTCCTGTGTTTACTCCAAACGCTTCGCTGAGTTTTCCGTTGTGGATCACTTGACATGTGCCATTGTCGTACAGTTGTTGAATAAGGTTGATGAATATTTGGGGTACGCCGTAGTACTCGAGTAGTTTCCAAATTACTTCGCGGTCAACGCTGTCGAAGGCCTTCTCAAAATCTATGAAGTTGAGGTAGAGATTTGATTGCCATTCCATGCTTTGTTCGATGATAATGCGTAGAGTTGCAATTTGGTCAGAACATGATTTGCCTTTCCTGAATCCAGCTTGTTCTGGTCGGAGTTCTGTATCCAGTGCGTCCTTGATTCTCTCCAGGATGATGCGACTCAGGATTTTACTTGGCGTCGACAGGAGCATGATTCCTCGCCAGTTCTTGCAGAGTCCCAGGTCGCCCTTCTTTGGTAGTTTCACCAGGTAACCTTTCCTCCAGTCAGTAGGCACCTTTCCCCCTTTCCAGATCTTTTGCAATAATGGAGTCAGCATATCTGCCGTCGTTTCTGGGTCCGCTTTGAGTGCTTCCGGGGGTATTCCATCTGGTCCAGCTGCTTTTCCAGCTTTCAGAAGCTTGATTGCATTCATGACTTCAGTTTTCGTTGGAGGATTGGTGTCAACTTGCAGTTGTGTACGTGCTGTTGTTGGTATTACTGGACGGGTTGTAGGTGGTGGTCGATTCAAGAGTCCTTTGAAGTGGTCCGCCCATTGTTTGATCTGTCTTTCTTCTTTGGTAATTAGGTTCCCTTGGCTGTCTTTTATAGGTTTCACTTGTGTTGATCTCTTCCCGGATAGAGACTTGGTTATCTGATATAGTGTCCTCAGGTCCCTTTTGCCTGCTGCCTTCTCAGCTTCAGTAGCCAGGTTGTCGTAGAATTGTCTTTTGTCCTTCCTGGCACTCTTCTTCACTTCTTTGTCCAGTGCTGTGTAAGTTGAGTTCAGCGTCTCTTTCTCTTGTCCATCTTTGCATTGAATCATTTTTTCTTTCACCTTTCTCCTCTCCTCTATTAGTTTCCAAGTGTCTGTTGAGAGCCATTCTTTGTCTTGTTTCTTCTTTCTTCCTAAAACCGTTGAGCACGTTTCGTTGAAAATTACCTTCAGAGAGTTCCAATGGTCTTCCACGGATGATTCCTCAGTGGTGCCACGTAGTGTTTCCTGCTTTGCTCTGACAGTTGCAGTGAAAATGTCCTGTGTGATTGTGTCCTTCAGTTTTTGCGTGTTGAACTTGCATTGTGGCCTATCCCCAGGTATCCTCGAGGCTTTCAGCTTCACCTTGAAAGTCCCTTGTACTAGATAGTGGTCTGAACCCACATCTGCTCCTCTCCTCGATCTTGTGTCCAGTAGGCTCCGTCTCCACTTCCTTGAGATTGAAATGAAGTCTATCTGGTTTTTGGTGTGTCCATCTGGTGAAATCCATGTTGCCTTGTGTATATCCCTGTGTTTGAACACACTGCCACCAATCACCAAATCATTGAAGGCGCAGAAGTCTGAGAAGAGTTCGCCATTTTCGTTCATTTCACCGAGGGCCTCACGACCCATGGTGAGTTCTCTTCCTGTATTGTCTCCTCCCAGTTTCGCATTCATGTCGCCCATCAGGATTTTGATATCGCTCTTTGGGACGTTGTCCATTACTGTTTGTAGTTGACTGTAGAAATCCTCCTTCTTCTCATGTTCTGAGGCGTTTGTAGGCGCGTAGCATTGAATGATTGTAACCTTCTTTCCTTTTGAGTTGAACCTGGCTGTCATTATCCTGGAGGAGATTGGTTCCCACTGCATGAGAGCTTTAGCCGCTGTTGGTGACATCATGATGGCTACTCCCTCGGTGTGCTCGTGATTGTCCTCTGGGTGACCGGAGTAGATTATTGTCTCTCCAGTTGATAGTTGGCTCCTTCCACATCCGTTCCATCTGCTCTCGCAGATTCCCAACACTTCTATTTTATATCTCCTCATTTCTGCGGCTACCTGAGCAGCCTTCCCAGCTTCGTACATTGTACGAACATTCCACGTCCCCATCCTTATTTTTGCTTTCATCGAAAGAAGGCACATCGGCTGACTGGCTTCCCGAAGGCTTTCACCAGCCCGCGTCATTTCACTTCCCCGATTCCAGCGAAAAATAAGGTCACTATTTGTAATTTTAGAATTTTGAATATATTTGTGCGTTGAAGTTTTAGTAGCAATTTGGTTAAGTTTTGGGGGTGGAGTTGCTAGCACCACAACCCAACCCTCCCTCTTTATCCGGGCTTGGGACCGGCTAGAATACTAGTGACCTAGTAATCTAGGCGAGGTTACAGGGAAATTAGCTTCTGTAAATTACGTATATAAACATTTAATCAGACATATATCATCGGCGAAGTCCAGATCCTCCAAGTTTTTTGTGTGGGTCCATTTTATGCCTGTTTCCTCATTGCCCGCTGTTTGTCGCATTATCCAGTCTACTGCAATCAAGAAAATCATTGGCGATAGTAGGCAGCCTTGTCTTACTCCTGTCCTCACTTCGAAGGGTTCCGTAAGTTTCCCGTTGTGGATTACTTGGCATGCAGCATTGTCGTACAGCTGTTGGATGAGATGTATAATTGTCGGTGGCAACCCATAGTAGCGAAGTAGTTTCCAAATCACCTCTCGATCGACGCTGTCGAAGGCCTTTCCAAAGTCGATGAAGTTGAGATAGAGAGGTGACTGCCATTCCGGGCTTTGTTCAATGATGATCCGTAATGTGGCGATCTGATCAATGCATGATTTGTTTCTCCTGAATTCAGCCTGTTCCGGTCGAAGTTTTTCATCCAGGTGGGCATGTTTGATTCTCTGCAGGATGATGCGGCTTAGTATTTTGCTTGGGATGGACAGGAGCATAATTCCGCGCCAGTTCTTGCATTGACTTAGGTCTCCTTTCTTTGGTAGTTTGAATAAGTATCCTTTCTTCCAATCCTCGGTTACTTTGCCTTCTTTCCACACCTTCTCCAGTAGTGGCGTCATCAAGTCCGCTGTCGTCTCTGGGTCCGTTTTCGATGCTTCTGCTGGGATTCCATCTGGTCCTGCTGCTTTTCCAGCTTTTAGCATCTTGATTGCCTTCAGGACTTCTGATTTCGTCGGGGGGTTGGTGTTCACTGGTAGCTCTGTCTCCGTTGTTGGTATTGATATTGATATACAATATTATATCCAAAGATTCAGTGTTTCAAAGTCAAATAATTGTAATAGTTTTCTGCAACTTTTTGACAAGATATTCCTCAAAAACCAGAGTTTTAGGTTTATATATATAGTATATATATATATATATATATATATATGCTACCAATAGTGTAGAGTTCCTGCTGGCTGCAAATATAGCCTTATTTGACCTTTGCTCACGTCTTTTGCATGAGCTTAGTACATATACACGTCATGTTTAGACTTATTTAATATATCTCAGTGAAAAAATCAACTGACATTCGATTGTGATTCCCCAACGAAGTCATCTTTTAAACACGATCCAAATACTGACAATTAGTTCAGCCAGTATTGTGCTACCTTCATGTGTTCAGTGTAGTGGAATCCTCGACAGCCACCAGTTAAGAAATTTCTGACCAACAAGTAATAATGACCTCTAAGCAGAAGCATTTAAAGCTGGTGGTCCAAGTGATCTATTCGAACTGATTAAACTCAGTTGGGCTGTAGCCAATAGAGTGAAATTCCCGTGTTTGGTCCTAGTAGTTTTATTTTCCTTCTGGAGTAATCACAATTTAGTTTAACTTAGTTCACAATAGCAGTTGACCTTAGTCTTATTGGAAATCAAGGACCTCAGTATTCAGTGGACAAACAATGGAATGGCGGTAAGTGTAGAGTGTTTACCCCGTAGTTCCACATATATTTTGTGTGTCTTGTAATCGCACACATTCGTTTTATTTCCGTCGTGCTTCTCATTGCATTTTGCTCGCTTCGTTTGTGTATTTGGTATCTTTCTTTCTAATGAAAAATATGATCTGTCCATGTTGCTCCATGCCAGAAACTGACTTTTTACTTATTTTTGAGACGACACGCGTTGTTCTGGTGGGCGACTTCAATGCTCAAACAGTTGTGTCATTCAGGGAAGTGTATTGGCAGCGCTTACTGAGTTCTATGTGGACAAACCAACAACGATGGTTTGACTGTATTTTCTGCCTTACATTTAGTGCTGATTATAGTTCTTTTGGATCTCTTGTTTTTGTATTCTCTCTACTGTGTGTTGCATGGAGTATGGCAATTCAAGCTGCTGCACTTCTGTGAAAAGGTCTATTTTAGAACTCATTTAATCAATCAGATGCGGCACACAAAGTAAAGCGTTATCAGAAGAAATAAAACTTTAGCTAAGGAGTAAAAATAGTAAAGGATGCTTTCGAATGACTGTTAATAGCTTGATATTACTTTCAAAAAGAAGAAGTAAGGAATTAGTAACATGTTAGCTTTGATTTCGACTCCGAGCAATATCCGTCTGGTAACAGTTAGTCTCATGATCTCTCAGACTTCACCCAGTGGGTCGTGTTGACCCAACACCTGTTCTCTTTATCCCGTGGTGTGGCGTCATAAGCTATCCAAGCCTTTCTTTTCCTTTGTCCCGAGGCCGACAGAGTGAACAGTGTGGAAGTCATTGGCCGGATATTCGTAGCACACACCTAGACTAGCAAAGCCAGCTCCCTAAAATAAAGTCACTTGTGGAGCGATGATCTCTTCCCTCTTCAAACTAGTGCCACTGGATAACAGAATTATTTGCGTGACAACATCGCTGGATGCAAAATTTATACGGAGACAACGATAAATGAATGCGAACTATCCCTGACTTTTTAATAAGAATGTTCTTCATAAATCAGATGTCTGTTGGTCGGATTAATGTCACTGGCGCTTGAGGTTGCTCGTGTTGACATATGTCACCTGATTTTCACTACATATTGCAAATTTCACCCATCACAAAATCGGTGCTGAAAACTACCTGGATACATAAACTTCTCGAATACTTCTAATGGTTGGCATGTGAATGTGGGTGCGAGGACGGTCTCCTACGAATCTTGTAGTAGTAACTTACACATACCATACCTATAGGTGCGTCAGTGGCATAGCGGTTAGGACGCTCGCTGACCATGCACATGGTCCGGGGTTCGATCCCCGGCCGACACACTCCTTTACCTCGCTAAGCCAGAACTAAAAGCTGGTGAAGAGGAAAGGTTGGGCATGAGGCTAGCAACCCCATCCTGTAAAAATAAATACTGCTACAGAAACTTCAAGCTTCTAGCTTGAAGCCCTATGTTCCACTGGGAACGTGAAGGAATAGAAAAACCATACCTATGGATACTGATTATCAACCAACAAGGTGATATTTGGGTAGTCTATGCATTATCACACAGTGAACTAATGTCACCCCCCCCCCTATTCAAGGTTGCAAGGCCTTTCTTCAGTCAGCAGATCCACACTACTGTCACACTGATCCTTCATAGTTGTACTTAGAATGTCATTGAAGACGACGTTGAAGAGAATTGGCGAAATTGGACAAGCGTGTCTAACGCCATTGCTGTCTGGGAACAGTGGTGATAGGTGGTCGTATGATTTTAGTTTACCTGAGGTAATTTCGCATGGGGCATTGAGGATGTTGATAAACTCCTGAGATACTCCTTTATCTACCACAGAATTTCAGAGTTCAAGGTTTTCCGATGCATCAAAGATAGGCCCAATCTCAAGAAATATAACGACAATTGGTGAGCAATACTTGAGATGGTGTTGACTAACGTAGATCTGTTGTATTAATGAACGCGTAGAAATAAATTGTTTTTCCTATTTACAGTTGCAGTTATTAAAGCTTCAACTGTCTTGATTCTATTATTTGGTTAATTATTGTTTTCTCTGTCGAAAAGTAACGTAGGGTGGATGAGGTGAATAATGAACCTGTTAGCAAAAATTGATCTATAAAATGTATCTTCGGTATTCATTTAGAGTATATTGGTTGTCGCAGTGTTTATAGCGATATATGTATGGAAATGTAGTATCAAAGAAACCTTTAAACAGGGACTTCCTTGAAATTAACTGAAAGTTTATCGTGGCTATCTTCACAAGACAAAGGTAGGTGCATTTCATTTTTGGCAACCAGACAGAGCTACTTTTTAACGTTCAATATAGTAATTACATATACTAATTCACATTTGTTTCCTATTTAGCATCTGTTGTTTCTTGTTCGTGACTGGAGTTATCCTTACGAATATAATTTTGGAAAAGATGGTGGTAATCAGTTGCTCAATAACCGTCTCAAGGTGATTTTGAATATGTGGTATTTCGTATTGTTGATTTTAAGTGTGTTGTTATTATGTTGAAGCTTCTCTTTGTTGCTCTTACATAAAAGGATTTTTGTTAATTGTAGCATGACCTCTTTCTGACACTCCAGCTATTTACCTTGTGTAATAAATGCTAGCGCATCTATTCCTGAAACATTGCATAGACTATGATGCATTCACATTAATAAGATAGGGACTTCACATATATCCCAGTGAAGATGTTCAGTGAGCCATGACTTTATTTTGGTCTCTATTTTATATGTAAGGAATACCCTTATTTTTCATTGGTTGGAGGATTTCATCATGAGCTGACATCAGTTGATGATGAAATCCTCTAACCAATCGAACGAAATCCCTACAAAACCAATACTTGAAGACTCTCATTTTTAATTTAAGATCGTGTAGTCACTTCCATATTATTAAAAGCATGGGAATAATTTCTCCCTCAGATGTAAACTTTGTCATGGTACATGGATGAACCTCGTGTATATCAGCCTCTGCCTGTTTCGTTTTCCGTTTCTCTGGAAACCAACTATCTGATTTTGAAAAATGGTTTCGGTTCTCCTGTATGTTTTTCTGCATTGCATTTTAGTTTTTGATTGAATTACATCATGTAGGATGTCCGTATGATCCATTAAGCGGTGTTTTGACATTCTGTATGTCATTTGATCTATGTCTTAAGATTTATAGTTATCGGAATAAACACTCGTTGGAACTTTACGAAAGCAATTTAAATGTTTCGCTAAGTCATCACAAATCCAGGTTGTATCACTAGTCATTGCGTCATGGGGTGTAGTGTGTTGCCTTTTTCAAATTTATTCTACTCTTCCGATAACTACACTGTCCAGTTAAACAAATTTTGTGGCAACCTAATAGGGCAAACGTGTGGTAATAATTTTTAGGTATTTGCTAACCACCGTCCGGAAAAGTCGGAATTAATAAGAAAGACGTCGAACTTCCAAGTATCAAAATATTCAAAGGTTGTTAATAGCAAAGTGAAGAATGGCATAAATAGGAGGAACTCCTCCCAAACAGAATTTCTGAATCGTGTTTAAAAGTTATGGTAATCAACTAGGCAGTCTTCTTATTGAACATTTTCTCAATCCAGTAGCTTGTTATAAGTGTTTCTTTCTATGGATCACACAGAATATCTAAGTCTAAGTACATAATGCTACTTCACATGGCATACGTGGTGTGATCTGATCATGTGAGCCTTAATACATTTGTTTTCTCATGAAAAGTACATTCTAGCTTTTTAAATACTGGTAATTTTTTTGCAATTTACATCTGTCAACTACTTCGTATTTTATATGATGGATGATGATTGAAGTTGAAATGAAAGTGTGGGTCTTGGCAGGATTTGAACCAGTGCCTTCAGGATTGCCAATTCCACTTGCTTGTCTACAAGACTCAGCTACCAAAAACACATCATCATTTTAATACAGTGATCACTTTGTTTATTCATCTGAACACTGAATTCCCATCTGCTGGGTCACAAGTTGCAACTCCACTACGCATTCTGGTAGGTAATACCTACTGTTAGTTCTGACACAGTAGGTTCGGTTCATCACTTATTGCCTATCTACTGACTTGATTGATGAGTTGCATTCTTATTATTATTTCACTGGCAGAAATAGTGGCTCAGTTTTTCATTCTTTATAGTTCTGATCATTGGTTCGCGAATTAACTGACGAAGAGAACAAAACGAATATCCCTACTAGACGATTAGTGAATTACACTTAAGAGCATGAGTAGTGAGTTAGTTCTAATTTCCTTTAGTTTTGGTCACTGAATCACCTTGATTTTCACCTTGCAAGAGCTATTAGGTTTTGTCCATAACACTTGGATATTCTTCAATTAATAGTCCAAACATCTCGAACTTCACCAGTGATATAAGTATAAAACTTGGACACTGTGGTAGAGTATAACTCCATTATAGATAAGATTATTTTGATAAGTCACACAGTGTTACACAGTAATATTAACTGATGACATTTCGAGCACAAACTTACTCACAATCATATCAAGTTACTCACACATAAGACGAGTGATTTTATAATCAAAATAAGTAACTTGTTATTTCCCTTCTGATTGTAATTGATCAATAACACTCATATTATTATTTCTGAATGTGCATTATCCTATATTGGTATTTATTCAAATGTCTAATCAATTCCACTCATGTATATAAATGAAGTAAAAAGTTGTGTGAGTGACTTGATATGATTATGAGTGGCAATAATTTGTGCTCGAAACGTCATCAGTTAATATTACTGTGTAACACTGTGTGATTTATCAAAATAAAATCTTATCTATAATGGAGTTCACCAATGATAGTTATGTAATCAATAAATTTCGTTTTTGTGAACTGAATAGACTAACGAATAAATAAATAGAAAGCGTCAGTCATTTGGATATTACACATCAGTGACCTCGGCGTTTGCCTTTAGGATCGCACCGAGAAATTAGGGTTTGAAAATTGACAATGATTTGCAAACGTTTAATTTTCTTTTTTTACAATCACATTTTATTTCCTCAGATTGTTCAACAACACCACACAGAGCACCAAACTGTTCGTCGGCATATTCGATCGTGTTTCTCTCAGGTGGATTGTTTTCTAATGCCTCATCCTGGTCTTAAAGTTTCAACTAATCCGAAGTTTGACGGGCGAGTGAAAGACATTGATCCCGATTTCGTTGAAAATCTCATAGTTCTGGTCCCTGATCTCTTAGCTCCAGTCAATTTAGTTGTCAAAAAGATAAATGGCCAGGAAGTTACGTGCCGTGAATTATTTACTTATTTCAAAGCATACATAAAGATTTACGAGAGTGATACTCTTCCAGAACCACGTTCAATGTTGGAGGCGACTGCAGAAGCAAATAATTTAAATGCAATATTAGCTTGTCAAGAAATGTACACAGAGGCGATGAACAAGGTAAACAAATCAAACCTTTTTTGTCCTATGTATAGTACAAATGATATGCCTTAAAAACGAGTCTTTTCTAATTCGATAATAGGGGTTTCATTGATTATTTAATCCAACATCTTTTGAATGTTACCGGTGAACTCCTTCACTTTTAATTGGCTTGTAGTATTAGTATATTCCGTTGACTACATGCACAAAGTTAATTATTCTCAAGGATTATAACATGAGTTATATTTTAAGAATTCTCATACGGGGTAGAAGTATTATGGTAATTAGCTTTCCGTGTGACATCAAATTAATAAAGGGAACATACAATAAATAATTCACTTGAAACAGTACTTTGCACTAGTTGATTTATGGAAGAAAAACTATTAGCGTTTATTCACCATTCTTCAGTTACCTGTCTGTTCACACAACCGAAGTAAACAGGTGAAGATTGGTAATTGGAGTTACGTAATACAAAATCAGTCAAGAAAATTAGGTGTTAGTGAAATTAGGGTAGTAACAAAGGTGATGAGTTGTCACAAACAGTTGTTAAAAGAAGTTATGTAATAATATGAATAGTTTGATGAGTGAGTTTTACTCAGGAACAAAGTAGATAATACGAAATTACGTAAGAGTTCTAAATGAATACAAGAATTATAAGCAATTAAAGAACAGGCAACTGTTCAGAGCCTGTTCTTTAATTGCTTACATTAAGTTTGTCCGATAAGAATAAAAATAAGTTAGGGTCAAGACATTTCAAAAATGTGATGAGTAATCAGATTGTAACTAGGGTCGGGGTGAAGATTGGTAAGAGGGTAGTTGTGATGTGTTGTCAAAACACATAGTTGTTGATGTTAGTCGACAACTGTATTACGTTTATTCAACTTCTTTTATGTGTTGATTAATATCAACAACTATGTGTTTTGACAACACATCACAACTACCCTCTTACCAATCTTCACCCCGACCCTAGTTACAATCTGATTACTCATCACATTTTTGAAATGTCTTGACCCTAACTTATTTTTATTCTTATCGGACAAACTTAATGTACAGACTCATACAACAGCAAGTATATGCAATTACGATTGTACAGCTAAGTGAATGAATTCGTTGAAAAGAAACTGTTCGCTGCACAACGTGTTTTGTTTTCATTATTGTTATTATTATTATTATAATAATATAAATATTAAGTTGTGTCTGTATATTCAGTCTATTTCAAACACTTTGTAATACCATCTTTTACTTGAATGATGTAATATGAGACAGCATTTCTAGTGGCACGTTAGGTTATTTGAGTTCCGAAGTATGCACTGATGAGCCCTAACCAACACGATGCTTATTTTCACTGTTCTTAAGTAATTCCCTAAAGCTGTGCCATATATTTATTTCATAACAAGTCATTTAGTACACTGTTGTGAACCCTGATTCCACTTTTCTTTCTAAACTTTAGATATGTGGACCAGACCGACCGTACATCAACCCAAATGAACTAGAAGCGTTGCATTTGAAAATATATAATAATTGTATTGAGAAGTTCAATAGTATCCCTAAAATGGGTGGTAAAGCATTTTCTGAAGAGTATTTGCATCGCTTAAAGGAAACAATAACGCAAATGGGAGAAGACTTCCGCTTAGCGAATTCTAAAAAGAACATATTTCAAGTATGTTAATGTCTTTGTACATTTTTAAGAATAGTTTCATTTATTGTATTTATAAATTTGTTCCGATAAGTAAGTGGCTTGCAAACAAGGAGTATATACTATCCCTTCTCAAGCATACAACACAGTACACTTATTTGTCCATGAATTCAGCACGTAAATGTTTCTTTTCAATGATCTTATTCTGAAAGCTATAAAGTCATATCTATATTTGGTATAAAAGGAGGTTAGTTAGATTAAAGTCTCTCAAAGAGTACATATGTGATTAGCTGTAAGGTTTTTCTCTTTTAGTGTGTGATTAAACTGTTGGTTGGAGAACCATCTGTTTAAATTGTTGACTTGCAGCAAAACACTGTTGTCATTCGCACTGTCTTATTCATAACATATTTTAAATATCATATGACTTGTTGAATTATATAATTATATGATGATTTAACTGATTGATGAAGACTTCTCATTTAGATATCGAAATATAGCCTAATAGATGTAACTTTTATAGTATATACCTTTAAAAACGGAGAATTTGATAGTGCTCGCATATGTATGCACTCTGTAATTATACTAATACTGGCTGTACTAATGGTGTTGCTCAGTTAACAATAAAGTTTCAGTTCGATTTTCAGAGGAAACAGTAAATTTTTCCTGGATGTAAACACTACTGATTAATGCGTACCGAAATTCATTGTGTCCAAGTTCCAGGTTTTCCGTTGATGAACTCCTAGTATGTAACACAAAACTAAGTGTATTCAATCCTCGTTTCGTCAAACAGGAACTCGCAAATAGTATTTACTCCGTCATTATAAAGAAAGTAGAATATGATTATGAGCAATAATTTATACTCGAAACGTCATCTAGTTATTAATACTGTATCGCTGTGACATTTGAAATAAACTTATTCAATATGGAAAGTAGAATGACATTATCAGACTTTCGTACTATGACTAACAGCCGTGTTTTGAATTCGTAATCATATTCTATAACATACTCGATTTGTGTAATATTCTGATTACGATTCATTTCATTAATAATTGGAGAATAAGGTGTCTATATATAATTCTATTGTGCAAGACTGAGTTACATGATTTTATTGTTAATCATACACTATTATTATTATTTAGGAAATAAATATATTAACTGCCTGTTTTCTTTTCTTTTTCATTTGTAGACTTTTCGTACTCCAACCGTCTTGGTTGTCATCTTACTGCTTTTCCATGTTGTCACAGGAATATCTGAGTTCATTGGCTTATCAGTGATTTCAAATGTTCTGACTATGCCGTTCTACATTGCTTTAATAACATTGTTTACGTGGTTGTTTTTAAGTTATACTGGTCAAGCGCCGGAATTAGCCAATGCTATAGACCATTCAGCTGAGTTAGTGATGAATAAGGTATGTGTGTCGTTATATTTCCTACCAAAATTGCAACATGTTGAAGATCTGAACGAAGAATATTGTTTTCAATAATTTATCTTCAGGTTCTTACAATTATAAAATGTAAGATATAATATTTATTGTCGTTACAATAATGGCCAGTTATGTGGCGGATACATTTTTAACGTAGAATAACAGATTAGTTATGGGGTGTCAAAATGAATAGTTGTATTTGTGTGACAAACGTCGTGACTAATTACCACCACTGCCTCCCATTTCACAATATTTTGTAATCGATTTCAGCCCAGCACGTTTGTCACACAAATACTATTTATTTTGGCACTCCATAACTAATCTGTTATTCTACGTTAAAAATGCATCCGCCGCATAACTGACCATTATTGTAACAACAACAAATATATTTTATAATTGTAAGAACCTGAAGATAAATTATTGAAAACAATATTCTTTTTTGAGATTGACTGCAACATTATTACATAGGAATATCTTAAATTGAAAGGAGAGCCGTATGTAGAAGTGTGCCGCATTGGTCTACGTACATAGTTTTCAAAAAGCAAATTAACAGTGGTCTGGATAGCTGTCAAATGAATCTAGGAGCACATTAGTACCATATAAAGGAGGGACATCTGAGACCCTACGTAGGATTCTTAATAAAGCAGGAATTAGCGTGGCATGTAAACCTACAAATTCACTCAGGGACAAGCTCTGTAGATTAAAGGACCCAGTTGACCCAATTAGACAAAATAATATAATTTACAAAATACCCTGCAGTGACTGAGAGGTCAACTACATAGGTCAAACTAGTAGGTCAGGGGTAGTCAGATTGCCAGAACATAAGAATTTAGCTAAGGTAAGAATGGTTGACCCAGACAAGATAAGTAATTTAGAAAAAAGCTCAGCAATTGCAATGCATGCGATAGCACACAACCACACAATAGGGTGGGAGAGGGTTAAAATTCTAAAAAGTAATCTAAGTAGGTGGAGAGAGGTTAATTACTGAATCCTTGTTCATCGAGTCTACACCCAACACATGCAATAAGAATGATTCATCACTCATACCCGAAATATGGAAAATATTACTACCAATCAAATCAAGTGAAAAACAATGGAACTATATAGATGAATTTAGGAAGTCGTGTGATTACCTTGATATGATTATGAGCAATAAATTGTGCTCGAAACGTCATCAGTAAACATTACTGTATAACACTGTGAGACTATCAAAACAAAATTCACCCATAATGGAATTACGGAAGACCTGTGTTTATATCCCATTCAGGGCGGGGGTTGAGCGTGGCTGTGGGTCGATTAAACTCCTCCTCGAAGTGTTCTTTCTAGCGTTCCAGTCGTCTATCCTGGTAGCTAATTATGGTGCCATTTTTCTCAGGGATTGTTTCACTTATCATTTGCCTTTCACTACCTGTTTCCCTGATAAGTCTAGATAGTTGTGGGGGTTACCAATCGCCGATGCCTTTTCCATCTCTTTCGCTTTTGTCGCCCACCACTGTTCACGGTTGTTACGAAGACTTCTTGTTAGTTTGCGTTTGAGTAGCTTTCTCTCCTTATCATAATCGGAGCTCGTCGGAATCAGTCTTCTAGCGTCAATCAGACCGGATGAGGCGGTAGAGATCCAATGGCTCTTACTAACTTTTGGTTATAGGCTATTAACAGGTTTTGCAGGTGTGTCTCCAGCTAACTGTATGTTGTGGCAGGCTACCTCAGGAGGAGTCCTTCTGTCGACTTCAGATACACGTTTCGCTATTTCCTCCTGAAATAGGGACCCAGAGTTTCGATCTAGTTGGGGACGCAACTGCTTCGCTGCCAACAATTTTTTATGTTTATTTAATTGTAAGCATAAATGTGCGCGAACCAGAGTGTGATGGGAGTCTACGCACGTGCATGTGGTTACTGAGTGGAGTAATTATTCATTATTATACAGTTTGCATTGAGTAATTTACTACTCAGAATACTGTAGAGATGTGGTTCTTCAGCTTCAGCACTTGTCTTTTAAGCAGTGGATTGAATCCTTCTCCATCTACTTCAGCTTAAAGTATTAGGCATTTTCAACCCCCCCCTCCCCACACATACAATTAGTGTGGCTAATAGCGTGGTGCATAATGAATCATCTCTCTTGCTTAACTGAGGTCTGACTAATATACCTTACTACTTTTTCCTTCTCTGTTTTACAGGTCTTCACTCCTGCAATCGAAGTAGTTGGTGGACGTGGAATTGCTCAGTTAGTTGGAGGTGGTGATTTGATTCCTCCTAATAACCATGCTACTAGAAGCTGAAAGATTTAGTTACATCAGGTTATCTTGGCTAAGGTAGCTGGGGAATGTGTTATGCACACGAAGACACCGCATTTCACTGTCAGAAATGTTGGCCGATGTAGAATAAGGTTGACAAGGTACTTGGATTTTAGTCTACACTTAACAGAAGCAATTACAATTCTCAGTTGAAGCAACCAATCAATATTCATGAGTGGTGATGGTGATTCCACAATCTGTGTTCCCCTCAAACTAATGTCCATTCGTTGAAGTAGTGAAACAGTTTTAAATATCACTTTATCTCAATGTAAAGTTTGTATTCATTAGTTTTCTAGCGAAAAGTAGTTACATCAAGTTATATTTTTTATCAGTGTTCTTGCAACTTGATAGTGCTACTTTATTATTTAACTGAATGTGAATTCTGGTCTTTATTCTCCATTCTTCTTTGTACTATATAATGGTATTAAGCATTACTATGATTCAGTACTGCAACTCCCTCTTGACCTTTTAAAGTTCAACAAAAGACTGTCGGTCTGAAATTGTGAACAATCTCGGTTATTGTACATATATCTTATAAATTAAACAAGTGCATTTATTCATGAAGAAGTTATTACTGTGCATTTTTTTCTGCAACCTATACTTTCCTGTCTTTGATGTGTTTCTCATTTCTTCTTTTCATCGATTGATAATCGATGAGGTAGGATAAAATCTATTGAATCAATAAACATTGCTGATAAAAATACTTTTTATATTGTCTTCTGCGCTTTGAAAATTCTCCAGGAGTTTCCGTTGTTAGCCCTAATGACGAACTTCCTACCTCCTCTTCCAGTTTGTAAACCGAGACTGTAGAGAACAGAGCTTAATGGAGATGTGCCACTGCCGACGCCGAATATTCAGATCGCTACCAATAATATAATAAAGATATATGTCTAAGATTTTAGAAGCTTATCCTGTTTCACATAGTAATCTTCACTAGGTTAATATCTAACCATGTACTGTACTATGAGAAAAAATTTATTTATAATTACAATTCTCAGTTGAAGCAACCAATCAATATTCATGAGTGGTGATGGTGATTCCACAATCTGTGTTCCCCTCAAACTAATGTCCATTCGTTGAAGTAGTGAAACAGTTTTAAATATCACTTTATCTCAATGTAAAGTTTGTATTCATTAGTTTTCTAGCGAAAAGTATAAGCTATGAGAATCGAAATGATAAGAGTTAGTAAGTATCACTTAGTAACTTGACTATGAAGTTTCTACGAGTGGTGTGTTCTGTTAGCCTGATTACTGTGGAGGCTATTTACCGCATCTTCTCGGAAGCATTCTAACTGGTTTCATGATAGTCAGTAATATTGTGTCATAGACAATACTGATTTAGTATTAGGTTAAAGTGACTTGGTGGCAACAAATCTTCATCTTATTGTAGGCAAGTAAGAGACTGCAGTTGATATGTTAGTGCTGCACTGCACTGGATTCACTTCACTCTCCTGAGACAGTCATAACATACAATCTCGTAGATGTGAGCAAATTTCATTCGTACTATCTGCAAGTAGGTTGTAAGTTGAGTGATTTGGTCACCTAAAGCCTCAAACCTAATCACACGATACCACTTGATTGAGAGGTTAGAGAAGACTTATGTGATTAGAATTTTCACTCCAGATAATCGGGTGATTGTATGGTTTGGAATTGTCAACGGCCCTATTGAAATGCAATGTGAACTCAGCGACTTCTTAGGTGTTGACGGAGTAAAGTGAGCGTGCTGGTGACACACATCCTTGTGTCTTCGTGGTTGTTAATTGCGAGATTCTGTCTATTGGAGGCATTCAAGGAAGTTGGTTCTGATTTCAGTGACAGTTGTTCTCACAGTTCGCTTTCACTGAATCAGGTGGTCTCAGTTCAACACTTCCTTGTCATACTGGATGTCATTCGAGTCACAAACTTCGGCAATTACCTGAAAGCGTCTAATACTGACTAACACGATAACACTTCTGGTACATAACGCCTACATTCATCGTGGTTAACCAGTGTAAGCACATTGAGAAGAGGCCGTTCCTTGCAGTCTTCGATACCGACTGTTTTGACAAGGTGCCTAATGATCATCTGTCCACAGTGCTGACAGATTGTTTTTCATCACGCCCAGTCTCAAATTTGTCTGCCTCAATCTCACAGCCAACAGACTTTATTTATGGACAGTGTTCTGCAAGGCTGTGATGTTTAGCTGTACTGTCGATGTTCCAGTGAATTCAGGCTAGCAGATGACTCCCCGCCCTGTCATCCCTACTCCTTAAGCTAGTGAGCCTCGTCGACGGAGGCGCCTAATGCGGCTTCTACTACTCGCCATTTGGTTAGTGTTGTCCTGCCAGTAATCTATAGAAACTCGTGAATTCAGTGAGAACGATGCTTCTCCACGATATACCATGGAGTGAGTTAAAAAAATGGCCTGACGAATAGCTTGCAACAGCTATTGTTGTGTCAAAATCTCTCCGAGGTAGGCGAGTGTTCAATTCCTGACACACAGATATCTGAGATTTTTATTAATATCCACCAGAGTCTATTGCTGAAAGTCTTGCCAACTGTTGACGAGCAGATGTGTAGAGAACTGATTTTGTCAAACAGTGTTCAACATACTACCCGACGGGAAAGCATCTCAATCATCTCTTCTATGTGTCGATTGTCCTGCATGCCTGAGAGTTCAGATCAACCGTAGTGATTTTCTGGTTGACGGGATCTCAACGGGGATACAACAGGCTCATTTGCTACTCGCCAACCCGCGTCATCTTTGACACGATCGAAGTATCATGTCTCGTGTGGAGAGACGTGTGTACGACGCACCATTTTCTTCTCTGATAATTCACGTCCGTGAGGCATGGACACTGAGAGTAAAAGATGTTAAAAATGACAGATTTTGATGATTAATATCTTCGTTCGATCGTTCACCTCCGTTCTAAAATATCTTGAAGCCCTTGTAGGATTAGTTTTGTCCTACAGATTTAGTCCTTCCTCAATACTGACTACACAGAGTCTTGGCTTTACTATAGTTAGAACAGAATAACTTGACTTAAACTTTATCTGTTTCTAAAACATAAAATAAATCATAAAATTACACCAAGAAAAATGTACAATCCACCGTCATTACAAAAAAAAACGGACAAAAACGTACCGTACAGTATTGAAGGTACGGACAAAATGAACAGTCAGTTAATTACATGTATATACAAGTAATGTGACAGACAAAAAAGAACATTCAAGGTCATCACGTGGTGAGAGTTACAATAATTCGACCAATAATCGCGACAAGAAAGGTCACATAATATTGATTGGCTGTTTATCATACAGTCTATCTATCTATCGCCATTAACACTCCCCGCGAACGATCACCACGTTGACCTTTCGTACGCTTCTTATATCTTGTTCCACTTCTTGAGCTGAAGTTTTCAAACACAGTGTCCTGACGTGGCCATCTTGGTCATAGTACATCTGCTTAACTATAGCCTTTCGCCAGAGACGTCTCTGTGTGTCAGCACTGTTAACTAAGACGAGATCATCAGGTTGTAGGTTGTGCTTTATATCCAACCACTTAGATCTTGTTTGCAGCATCAGAAGATATCCACGTAGCCATTTATGCCAGAGCAAATCAGACAAATATTTTGGAAGTAGTTGACTATAGTGTTGGGAGAAAGCATATTCATACATAGCATTCGCTTTACCTTTGTAATATTGTAATTTTCTTAAGAATTCACCAATTGCTGAACGAGCCGCAGTTAAAGGCCTTTTTGGAACTAAGGAAATACACAGATCAGATGCATCGTCCTCACCAACTACTTTATGCGTACGTCCCATAGAATCGTCAGGTTCAATCAAAACTTGCAGAATCGCATAACGAGCACAATAATGTGCTTGACACCATGATCCAATGTCATCAGCATTTTCTGCTGGAGAATAAAACTCCATGGAAGTTACAACTGAAGGAATCATTGACAACCAATTAATATAGACTGCATCTGAGACATTGCCTTGAGCACAGTTGGTATTCAGACCGAACTGCTCCAGAACAAGAGGTAAATTAGATAAATAAATTCCAACGCACTCAGCTTGACACTTGTCTATTGCAGATGAAAGGTTTGAAAACTTGTTGTCATACGTTTCTCCTGCTTCACACCAACCTTTTACAGGATCTGCATTTATGACATATTCAGTAGCTTTCGTGTGGAAATTTCGTTTTCCATAACAAGCACGCCGAAACAGTTTACCAGAACTATATCCCATCAGTTCATGAAGTTCAACTTGTAATTCAAAGGAACTTTCAGCACGTTCCACGTACATCTGTTTGTCTTCATTACGTAGAAATTCTGGTTTAGGATCCTTGAAACGAGCACTAAGTACATTATCCAAAGAAACATTTTTAAATCCATCAACTTGTCGTACATCATCATAGTTAGGAATATTAGTTCCAACAGGAATTCCAGCAGTTGCACACGTCTCTGCATCCATACTAGTAAGGCCTGGCTGTAAGAAATTAACTTTTTCAAGCGTAGAAGGCCATGGTAAACTTGTTAACAACCTTTCAGCACTATTTACAAGTCGTTGGAAATTTTTAGACACTGATCTATTTACAACAGCGACAAATGATTCAAACCTTGCACGAACACCAAAGGGATCACGGTACGACTCGATAAAACCAATATAGTTTTCAACAACAGGGTTCTTATCTTTAACACATAACCTGAAGGCATCTTTGTGAGTGGCTACTGAGCCAGTAGTGAAGCTTTCAGCATACTGATGCCACATTTCTGATTCGATTTGGTTAAGCGAATATGCTTTAAAATCTTTACAACAATCGACTAGTAACTTCATCAGCTCACTATAGTCACCATATTCAAGCTGCAAAGATGTGTCCGAGGGAAGGGCATCTCTTAACTTCTCACGACGTTGACTTAGAGGGATTTGCAGGTCATGGTAACGTTGGGCTAACTGTCTTTGTTTTTCTTGGATAATAGGAGCGTCGAAATGAATTTCTGCAGCAAACATGTCAGCCTGGACTTTGAATGCATCTATACATTCACGATGAGCATCTACATCACATTCAAGCAAGTCGTGCCGCCTTTGTGCGTTGATCATACCGTTTAGATCACGATCGACATTCTCTGAGGCTATCTGAGCTTCAACATCATTCAACCATAACTCGACATCTTCTATGTTGCGAGCGAACTGTTGTTGCCTACTTGCTTGATCTAAATTTTTCTTCCTGTCTCCCATGGTATTTACGAGATGAGACCAAGTTTC